AAAAATTTATTTTAATAAAACCTACCAGAATATAATCAAGATGTCAAAGTTCAATAAGATATGGAATGAGCACTTCACAAGTTTATATTATTAGTTTATATTATAATATAAACATATAATAATACATATTTAAATATATTAAATTTTATATAATATAAATATATAATACGTAATTATATATAATTATTTCTATTATATTATTTTGGTGTTATTAGAAATATATATAATGTTATATATATGTTATATATAACATCAGCCAAGTGGCACAAATGCTGAACGACTTTGACCGTGAATGTGGAAAGGTCGGACTACAGCTGAATCTTATGAAGACAATGTCTATGAGAAACAGCCTTGTTCCTGACGCTCCATTCGCTCTCAACAGAACCACCATCTCTGAATGCAACAGTTATATATACCTAGGTCGAGAAATCAACATGATGAATGACCTGGCACCTGAGTTGCGCAGGAGGAAGAGAGCGGCTTGGAATGCCTTCAAGAGCATTGAAGAAATAACTAAAAGGACAAAGAACCTCCAGCTATGAGCACATCTCTTTGATTCCACTATTGTTCCTGCATTAACATATGCCTCAGAGACCTGGACCCTACGAAAACAGGATGAGAACGCTATTCGGGTCTCTCAAAGAGGAATCGAAAGAACTATGCTTGGAATATCTCGATTCACTCAAATGAGAGATAGAATCCGGAGTTCTGATCTTCGTCAACACTCAAGAATCAGGGATGCTGTCTCATTGCCAAGACATCAAAAATCAGATGGGCTGGACACGTAATGAGGTTTACAGACAACCGCTGGACTAGAGCCATTACTGATTGGATTCCACGGGACATCAAAAGATCACGTGGACGCCCACCTATAAGATGGTCAGACTTCTTCGTCAAGACCCTAAATGATCGGTTTGAGGCTCTGCATGTTCCTAGAACAAACAGATACCATTGGGCTACGTTAGCACGCAACCGGGATGAATGGAGACGTTACTGGCACCTGCTCGAATAAATCGATGAATAACGGGGATTAAGTGATAAGTGATTATATTATTGGTTTATGTTATTGGTGTTACTGGTCCTCGAATTCATGATAAAAAAAAAAGGAATCCACTTACACTCTTTTCTAGATATAAGTGCCTTAATAACTGTGAATGTTACACTTTTTTCAAGCTAAGAAGCACTAACCAGTGTCACAGAGTTTCTTAAACAATTCCCCAATGCCATGGCCTACGAGTTTACAAATGCAGTTTAGAAATAAAAAAAATGCATCTTCCAACTATACCGTTATGTGGCCTTCTAGATACCATTACTACAGAATATGGTATTCTAATTACCTCCAGCTATTGAATAAAAGCACATTTCAGTTATCAATTCATTTATACTATCTTTGCTACCTGGACTTAAGTAAGGTAAGGTGAAGTGTGGAACACATTCCACTCTCAAAGACTAAACATGCAGTGTGGGAAACCCTGGTTATTTCACACCAACAGCACTACACTCAAAGGCACTCTTCCTTCCAGATTCCCCAACTGAACTACAGAGACTCTCAGACTGATTTCTATTCTATGAATATTCCTGAGAAAGAATATTCTTAGCTTAAAATGCTTTTAAAGATGTGGCCTATCATCTATCTGCTGCTTGCAAACTGTGTCCCCATGCTGGGTTTGTTCAGTTTCTTGTGCTGGTACAGCTTCACCAACCATCATAGGGGTACATTTTGCTGTTCAGTCTGGTATTTTCTGGGTCATCTGATTCTTTTTGAAATAGGATCACCATCCTACATAACCTTGTCTATTTCCTGGAGGAGCAAGGAATGGTCAAATGAGCAACATAAGAAAAAAAAAGCTATTTTTAAAATGTGTTATGAACTCAGTTTAGTTTAATATGTCAAACGCTAAAGTATTACATGCAATTTTAGCACAGTCCATTTTTTGGAAGACTCTTGCTGAGGCTTGGCCTTCTTTAGTGATCTCCCAATCAATATGACCCTCACTTCATGTTCAAAAAATACTAAAGAAGAAAAGAAAAGGCAGCTGTCTGTTAGGTTATACAGGATTTATTTGGTATCTTCAAAAACCAATCTGAGAAAATTTTCCACTCACTGACTTTAGCTGAGCCACCAAGAAAACAAGAAAATCCTTCTGCAAAATTCTCAATAAGATGATATTATCTAAACACCTGAAGCATGAAACCTGGATTACAACAGCTGACAGAAAAAAAAAGTAATGTCTACAGAAACTAAATAAAAACACTGAAAAGTCTAACAATGTAATATTAACTTTAAAACTGGAAAAAGATTCCTGCAATTTTACAAAGCATAAACAAAGTTAAAAGCACCAATAAAGATAATTTTAACATAACTACTGAATTAAAAATAAAATTTAGAGCTTTTAATTTTCTTTATAATATTTATGTAAGTTAACTTTTATAACCTTAACAACACTATTTAATTTCCCATTTTCCACATGGCAGAAGTATGTTAAAGCAGACTGAAATTTCTACATGTCTGACTAGAAAGCTTCATACCTAAAGTAGAAGTAAATTTTGACAGAGTTATGACTTGAGTACAAAGAATTAAAATGTAACTAATAGTAATACCTTCACTTTATTTCCAACAGCCAAAAGGTGGGTGCTTCAATTCATCCTAGACTTTCTAATTCTCTGCAATAAATAGTAAACAAGGCCACAAATTATTCTCCCTCTCCATAGCCAATGTCGTTTGTAGTAAGTCTTCAATGCCTCTCCCAATTGGAGGTAGTTTATTTATCCACTCAGAGAAAATGGGTCCGCTCCTAATTTGCTGAGGCCACTGAAAATATCACCAAAAGGATTAAAAAGTGTTTACACAGGAGCTGCCCTTTCACACTGGAGATTTCCCAGTAAGAACTCCAAGTTCACTGCACATATAAAAGCACCTCAGCGGCCACACAAAGACATACCAAATCATCCTAAATGAAACCTCTAGGAACCAGTCAATACCAGCCAACTGGATTGGCTGAACCTAACCAAAACCTGCTGACCCAGGCACAGATAAAAAGACTCACTGACATTATCTATATTATCTCATCTGCATTACCATGGATATGGATAAAGCACCATATATCATGGTGTTTTAAACAACCAAGTGTGGAGTAATAACTGACAGAACAATGGAAAGCTCACATACTCACCTATCACTATTATTTATAGAACATTTACTCTATCACTGAATAAGCACCACTGGAAGCGGTGAATATTTAGTATTTATCCAATGATCATGACTCTACCAGACAGACCCTGCTGCTGACTCTCCTAACTGGAATAAGTGAAGAAGACATTTCAGAAGACAGAACAATGAACATGTAGTTACAATGGTTAATCTCAATAAGTATTTGAAGATCACAACCTGAAAATATTCTGCTTACTTTTTATTAACTTTCTTAGACAACACAATTTGAGAACTGCCTACAGAAAAAATATTAACGTCCCTAGCAACTTACTATGGTAAGGTATGGTAAAAGAAAAATCGAATTGCCCAAAATCCTACCTTCCTAAAAATGTTTCATTTCAGAGAATATCACATCAATAAGCAAAGCAACTCACATCAATATCACATCAATAAGCAAAGCCACAATAGGTATTACCCCCCCCCCCCCCAAAATAGTGCCTGCCATAGGCAGGCTGAGGAACAGGGACAGGAGAGAAACTGGGAACCTTGATGGAGGGAAATGGACACTGCTGAAGAGCCTACTGTTGACATACTGTCTGCCTGAAACTCAATCAGGAATAACTTTGGAACTTTGGAATTCACAGTATTTCAATAGGGAAAAAAATGTTTTGTTGTTTTGTTTTTGTGCCACACCCAGCAATGCTGAGGGGTTACTCCTGGATCTGCACTCAGGAATTATGCCTGGCTGTGCTCAGGGGACCATATAGGATGCCAAGGATCGAACCTGCCTTAGTCAGGTGAAAGGCAAATGCCCTACGCAGTATACTATCACTCTGGCCCCCTAGGAAAAAAAATTCTTTTAAAAATATAAGTCAAAAGAGTATCAGAAGTGACAGAATTAGGAATAATCATAGCAGCAATTATCCAGAGTGAAAGAAGAAAATATTTCAAAAGCATAGCAGAAAATTAGAGATAGTAGTGGTAGATCTTGGCAGAAATAAGTGAAGGAGTCAGGATAGTATGTAGCAAGAACACTTACAGTGTAGGGAATCTTTCACTCATTTAACAACTATTAATTATCGGCTACATGGAAGGCATAGATACCTTGCACTAAGATTTTTTGGTAAATAAGAAAAATATGGTCTCCTTTCTCACAAAGCTTATAATCTAAAGAAGAAAACTATTGTTCATACTATCAGTTGTATGATTTTTACTGGGACACATTAAGTAGTAAGCATTTCTAAGGATAAGTATATAATTATCCTACATAAATAAGGGCTTCAGAAACATGCAATTAGTAATGAACTAAATCTACAGTTTTAAAACCTACACAATATCTTACATGTTACACAATTCAGGATAATTACACTTTAAAAGAGTTTCATCATTAACCAAAAATTTAAATACCTTACCTCCCATTAGAAAAATAACACATTTCCCATATTTATTCAATTTAAGGTTCCTTAATTACAAGAGACACCTGAATTTTCAAGTCATATGCTTCCTCTAAACAAGAGTATTTCAAAGCGTTCAAAAACCCTCAAAAATAATCATTGAAACACCAAACTGACTTTTAGACAAGAAATTAGATAATAATTTCATCAAGATATAAATGTCAATTTCTATTAAATGCTGCTAAAGATCAGTTGTATAACCTTTAAAAAAATGAATTAATTCTGAAGTTGATTCAAATATGAAATTCCCAAAAAACTTTTCCATTAGGAAATGAACAAGTAGAGTTTTTTTTTTTAATTTTTATTAGTGAAACACCATGAGGTACAGTGGTAGCCTTACAAATTTTTGTGCTTGGGTTTCAGTTATACAACGATCGACAAGTAGAGTTTCTTACCTGTAGTCATCTAACTGGACCAGAAATCGTACAATGTCATGATGTGCTTTTAGTACAAGTAGTTCAGTGTAGGGATTCTGGGTTTGTTCTTCACCTATCGTCTGTAAAGGAGATTTCTTATATTGAAAAAAAAAGGCAAAAATAAAAGAGAGAAGAGAGAAAAAAATGAAATGATTTATGATGAAAGACCATACTGGAATCAAACTTTATTAAGAACACAAGATTTTAAAAAGCTGCATGCTCTAATATAACATTTCCTCCGATAACAACCAACGGCGTACTTAAATGAACATTTCTCTGACAATAAAATCATACAATAAATTTTTGTATTTTCAAGGCACATTCTATTTACCAAACGGATGTATTTTACAGAAGTTACACCTCAAAATACCTGACCTTTAAAAAAAGAGAGATAGTACAGCGGGTAGGACCTTTGTCGACATTGCACGAAGCCAATGGGTCCCCTGCGTCTCACCAGGAGTGACCCCTGACCACAAAGTCAGGAGTGCTTAGCACTGTCCTGAGCACTGCCAGGTGTGACCCCAAAACAGAAAACAAAACGGAAAGAAATGAATGGACGAGCCAAATTCAATACTTAGATCATATATTTCTCAATTAAAAATTGAGAGAATAAACACCCCGTTGAGTTCACCCACCTCCTTGAGTTCACTCAACATGTTCACTAAATTTGAATAGAGGAATGAATAAAATCATTTATATCAGTGGATTCAATCTGGGAAAATATAATCTTGATGATAATTGCAAAAGAAGTATTCAGTGGCAATTCACTTGCCAGACACTGAACAAAGTACATATGGCATATAATTCATAATAATTCATTCTGGAAGGTGGTTGTTAAGTAAACTCCCCTTCTATTGTTAAATGCAGTAGTACTTCATGGGGGAAAAAAACACCCTACATCTCAAACGTGACACCACTTACAATCCAGACCAGTTAACTGTTGCTGAGACACTATCTTAGGCACTGGAGAATATTCAGCAGCATCCCAAGCCTCTACAGACTAGATACCAGTGAAAACCAAATATTTTCCCCAAAGTTGCGACAATCAAAATATCTCCACTCATTACTGTTTCCATCGGAGCTAGGTGGGAGGGTACTGAAGTGACAGATGAGGATTAAGGCTCCAATCATACAGGTGGCTGACCTAGTCCCCTCCAATGTATATGGTCCCCCCTGTACTTGCCAAGAGGGATCCCTGAGCACAGAGCCAGGAGTAAGCCCTGAGCACCACCTGTGGCCCAAAAACTAAAATAAAATTTTAAAGACATCAACAAACGTCCCTGAAAGGGATAAAATGTCAGCAGAAACACTGCTTAAACTAGAAAGTTGGGAACAAAGTTCTTTCATAAATAAGGGGATATCACTGGTCTGATAAATTCGGTAGTTTATACTTTTCATATTGAACGTGTACAATTTAACATGCATGTTTTCCAAAAATACTCAAACCAAAGCAGTAATTTATCCCATCTACGTAGCATTTAGTATGACGAGAAAACCAAAACCGAATCTGAAAACTCTTTACCCCTTCCTTCAAATTAAAATCTGCTAGATACAGCACAACATTCAATTCTTCGATTAACTGAGCTAATACAGAACTGTCCTGTATATACTGTACTACTCAATTCTTCACGTTTTCCCATTATCTTCAGGACTTCGGCCCATCTGAAATGCACCTAGTTGGAAGAAACACTTTGTTTTTACAACAGACCAAACTCAACTACACATACGTGGGGAAGTTAAAACTGGGAAGTGAGGAGGCCCTTGTTATCCAGAAGCCAAGTCAAAATCCCTAACCACCAATATAACTGTGTCCTGGAAGAAATACAAAGAAACACTCATTCCCTTCATCTGTAGCACGGGAAGCAGGCTCTGGGCCGTCCCGTTTCAAAAACTCCAGAATGTGTAACATTTGTAACACTGCAAATGCAAACCTCATTAAGTTTCAATCACACCGTGGCGGTGCAAGAAAACAAAACAAAAACAACACGTGAGGCTCGGTTTGGAAACTGGGTTGGTGAATCGGAGAGTCACTACGCAGACTTTACAGGTCAGGGCAAAGGGAGCAGGGGGCGGGGGTCTTCGCGGCGGGATAGGTGGAGTTCACACTCGGAGCGCTCGCGCCAAGTCAGGTGCCCAGCAGCCAGGAGGCATCGGCCGGGGAGCTGGTCCCGGGACTGGGGTCCTTTTTTTCGTTTGTTTTGTTCTGTTTTGTTTTGGAAACCCCAAAGGAGGCCGGTTCTGGGAGCGCCTGGAGCTGAACCCCTTTGGGGTTCCTCCGCCCGCGTCTCCGCCGCCCCGGCCCGGGGGGCCCCTTTACCTCGGTCAGCCCCTGGGGTTCGCGGCCTCCCCCGATCAGCCAGCGCAACATCCGGGCAGCGGCCGCGGGCAGCCTCGGCCTCCTCCTCCTCCTCCTCCTCCTCCCCGCGGAGCTACGCCTCCGAGATCGGCCGGGATCGTCGCCGCCCGGGATCTGCCCGCGGGACTGACGACGGGACAGAAGCCGGCGCGCTGGGGGAGGTTTTTGTCCCCACGGCGCTCCCGTACTTGGAACCACTGGGCCCGGCTCGGGGCGCGGCGCGGGGGAAGCGGCAGCCCCACGGCGAGGGCGGCGCTCAGTGAGCACGCGCGTACGGGCGGGGGCCGGGGGGCGTGGCCGGCCCGGTGCGCTCGGCCTCGGCAGCTCTAGCGACCCCTGGTGGGCGCGCGGTGCTCGGTGGAGAAGGGGCGGTGTGCGGAAGGAGTTGAGTTTTGTCTTGGATTCATTCTTCAATCTAATGTTCAACTAGTTACTCCTATTAGGTTCCATTTCTGTAATTTATTTCCACGAACGTTTTTTGACTTAACTATTACAGTTTTTCTGAATCATGACGTATTTTTCAAGATTTTGAACGGTGTGTAACAAAGCACCCAATTTTAAATATTAAATATGCAGGCGACAAATCATAGAGGGATATATATATATATACTTATATACACATTTTCCGTCCCTCTTGGAGAGCCCGGCAAGCTACTGAGAGTATCCTGACCGCAAGACAGAGTCTGACAAGCCACTAAAACTGTAACAATAAGGGGTCTCATTACCCTGACCCTGAAAGAGCCTCCAACATGGCAGAGTTGTGAAGGACAAGAGGAGAGGCTGTTAAAATCTCAGGGCTGGGACTGTAGGATAACACTCTTTTGTCCTTCCTCAGGTAGCTTAGGTTTGTCAGGTCACACCCATCTAAGGACACTGAACTTGTATTGTAAGCAATGTCCTTTCTGTGTGGACACAGGAAGACAGTTAATATTATGCTTTGTAACTTGGGAGTTGATTGACTCCGAATAATATTTACTCCTGGGCATCTGATTTCTTGACTCAGTTGCCCTTAGTTCCTAGCACCCCAAAAGCAGGGTCCCGACGAGGGACTGAATGGACCCAGGGCAAGCAGTGAGCTACCCTGGCATCGAAATGGGCTAGGCCAAAGAGCCACGATACTCAACTATAAGTTGAGGGCATGATCATGGACAAATGCTGTCATGATCCAAAAGTAAGTAACGACGAGACTAGGACCCTGCTGGAGCTAGGAAGATTAACCTGGCCTGCAAAATGTATAGTGAGATGTTCTCAGGAAGAACCAAACTAAATTTATATCTCTCACTGTGCTCATACAGAATGACATTGCTAGAAATATTAGAAGTAGATTATTACAACTATTTAAGTAAATTACTAACTGAGGGAAGAACACACCCTTGTTGGGATCCCACCCTTGGGCGGATCTCCTAGTAATCTGAAGTAATCTCTGTAGATGAGATTTTATCCTTGAGTCAATCTCCCGGAGGAGTGGTCTTACCTCTCTTTGTTGATTCGTCAGTATTCAACCCACCTTTATGTCACCGCCTTATGTGACTGCTATATAAACTAAGACGTAAGCTCGGAAAGGGAGTCAGAAGTGAGAGAGCTCAGGCTCCAGAGATCCAGAGTCAGAGCCAGAAGGAGAGAGGTTCCAAGATTTGGGCCCAGGAGAGAAGGAGGCAGAGAAAGATAGGAGTGAAGAGGATTGGAATATACTACTATTGATATAGACCGGCCTGGCCCTCGTTTCTTCTTCGTCTGCCCTTGGCCAACAGCCATTCTGATCCAGGCCACACACAGCGGCTCAAGAGCTCCGAACGCAGGCGGTAAGACAGTGTCATCCAGTGAGCCCGTGAACACACAACCTTCGGTGTGATAAGATTTTACATGGGACGAATGGAGATGTTACTAGTGTCTGCTGGAGAAAGTTGATGAACAAATGGGATGACAGTGACAATGATAGCACTTGGGCAAGGAACCCCTCACCACCATTCCCTCCCTCTCCCCCCATCCTCAGTGCCCTAAGAGGCTGCCTGGAGAAAGTGTAATTCAAAGAGCCTTCTGTATCCAGACTAACCCAGTGGCAGGTGTGTCTAGAAAGAGTCTGGTCACTGTTTACGTGGACTAACAGAGAAGGGGCACCACTCTGGACAAGAGTTGGGTATGAAGGCAAAGTGATCCACAGGATACCGCTTTCAGTAACAGTATCTCAAACCTTAGGGCCTGAAAGGAAAAAATGGGGAGGGATGTAGGATTACATTGGTTTGTCTTTTCTCCCTTGCCACAGGGAGCTTAGGTTTATTGGCTTACACCCGTAACAGTGCTCCCGAGGCACTCCCATTCCTCTGTGTTTATCTTTAACCTCTCCCCTGTGCTCTCTTCCCCAATCGGTTAATCACCTATGTTCCCAAATCAGACCCTATTATGACTTGTAAAGTCAGATTCTTCAGAGATCTCTGAATTCTGTACTTATAAATGAAATATTGCTTTTCTCCTTCCCTTATATTCTTTGCATAGTTTACTATAGAGCAACGCCCTTTTTATATAGACACAGGAAGACCGTTAATGCTATGCTTTTGTAACATGGGAGTTAATTGACTTTGAATAATTTTTACTCCTGGGCATCTGTCATATGTACTTGGCTTAAGCCTCAGTTGCCCTTAGTTCCTAGCACCCCAAAAACAGTGTCCTGACGAAGGGACTGGATGGACCCAGGGTAAGCTGTGAGCTACCCTGGCATCAAAATGGAACAGGCCAAGCATCATAATACTTAACTATAAGTTATGAGCACAGTCATGAACAAATTCTGTCATGATCCAAAGATTAACAACTGGATAAGGACCCTGCTAGGGTTCGGAAAGAATTATCTGGCCTGAGCACTGTAGTCTGGGATCTATAGTGAGATGTTCCCAGGAGAGCCACCCCACAGGCTTAATATATCTCTTACTGTGTCAATACAAAATGACTAAAAATCACGGTCACAGTCCTCCCGTTGTTCATCGATTTGCTCGAGCGGTCCCAGTAATGTCTCCATCATGAGACTTGTTGTTACTGTGTTTGGCATATCGAATACGTCACGGGGAGCTTGCCAGGCTCTGCCGTGCAGGCGAGATACTTCGGTAGCTTTCCGGGCTCTCCGAGAGGGGCGGAGGAATCGAACTCAGGTCGGCCATGTTGGCCACTTGTAAGGCAAACACCCTACTGCTGTGCTATCGCTCCAGCCCAACTAAAAATATTATTAAGTAAAATCTAAAATGATTGTTTATGGATTAAATATGGCCATTGGTGAAACTCTACCCTTGAGCGGATCTCCTGGCAGGAGATCTTTGTCTTAGATGAGCTTCCCTGGAAGGAAGGACTTTACATATGTTGATTGTGCTATCTCACCTAGGTGTAGTTGCTACCCCCAATGCTTGGAAGTTGGGCTCTAGACTGAGGCTGTGAGACAGAGCGTGGAGAGACGGGGACAGGAGGAGACAGAAAGGAGGGGCAGCGTGAGACTGGAATGGGGCACTTAGTGAGACTGGAACAGACGCACGGGGAGAAAGGAATAAATGGCAACTGATCACCAACCAGCCTGGCAGCCTGTTCCCTCCTTCATGCATCTGTTGGCAGCAGCAGCAGGCTGGGGTGGAGAGTAGCTCATGGCCATTGAACACACGTGGCAAGAGAGAGAGCCCCGCTGCAACACTCGCTCATTTGTTTTGTGATTACACAGAGGGGGAGAAGAGAAAACAAGGAAAGGCAACTGCCATAGAGGTAGGCTGGGAGATGGGGAGTAGTGGTAGGGGAACTGGGGACACTGGTCGTGAGAAATGGACATTGGAGAAGGGTCGGGTGTTGGAATATTGTATGGCCGAAGGTCATGAACAGCTTTTTTTAACTGTGTATCTCACAGTTAATCAATTAGAAAAATTTTAATTAAAAAATATGTCTGCTGTCAACCTAAAGTTTTCATGAATCCTTACAGAAATTCCATTATCCTTACTTCATTAATTAAAAAAAGAGAGAGGATAGTTTTTCTAGAGCTAACAGATAGGAAGTAGCTACCCAGAGAATAAAGTCCAGTCTGCAAAACTAGTGCTTTTGCCTGATCATCTGAACCCCATATATGTTTGTTGGATTAATACATTGGTTGGGAAACGCATAGTAGGTCTCTACAAGAATTTTTGTTTACTAATTTATAGATTAGAATTATAGATTAGAATTTCTTGGAGTTAAGAATTCCAGACACCCAGATCCAAGAGACTGAATGGGCCCCAGTGAAAATCAAACCAAACAGAAAAATTCTAAGTCACACTGCACTCAGAATGACAAAAGCCAATAAGACAAAACTATTGAAAGCAGCAAGATCAAAGAAGGAAATTGCAAAGCATCACAGCAGATCTATCAAATGAAACTCTACAGATCAGAAGAGACTAGTGGGATATAGTAAAAATATAATAATAATAGATGAAACGAACACCTCAGTAAGAATACTCTATCCAGCTAATCATTCAGATTTGAAGGAATTGTGCAAGACTTCATAGACAAGCAACAGCTCAGGCAGCTACTAGCCTTATAACCAGTTTTGCAAGAAGCATTATCAGAGTTTCTTTAAAGACAAATTTCTTACCGTTTTGCCACTGAGTATGACATTCATTCATAACACTTATGATTGCCTGTAACAGATTAAGAATGGTGTGCTTATTGCTAACTTGCTAAGAGTTACTTTGTAATGTGAATGTTTCATTTATTTTGATATTCTTTCTATGTCTTTTCAGGTGGCGTTTTTAGATTTATGGAAATTTTTCTTTTACTTACTAGTGCAGATACTTAGACTTTATCTTTAATATGTTCCAAAATAAAACCAACATTACATTTTATGTATAAAACAGATTTTTGCAACTTTATAGACCTGTTCAGGATTTTTTTTTGTTCAGGTTTTTTTAAAACATTTTTAAATATTCTCTTAATTCTTGCTAAATCATATACTTGTAGATTTAACTAATACATGCAAACTTTAAAATGTATTAATTAGCCCTAGGTGTGCAATGACGGATACCAGATCATGAAGATATGGTATGTATACACAACTGTAAAGGATGATGAAATCATGCAATCCACTGCAACATGGATGGAACTGAAAGATGTCATGTTAAATAAAGTAAGCCAGAGAAGAAGGATAAACACAGTATGATATCACTTATATGTGGTACTTAGAATAACCAGACGAGGGAATGCAGTGTTCTAAAAGGTGGATGACCATATCAACCTTGGTCCCAGAG